ACTTAGTTATGCTAAATTTCAGCACATTTGCTGTCTAATTAACATAATTATAACGGTTCAAACTATATTTCGATATATATATGATAGCTATACGAAAACGCGGACCAATATTGAACATTTGCAAAACCAAATAAATCTTAATTATAGGGATTATTTGTGAAAAATGTCTGCCCTCTGTTTCTGTTCGGATCCTATTGTACTTTCAACAGACAGACGGACGGACATGACTAGATTGTTGTTGTGTTACAAATGGAATAATAACAAATAATAAAGTTCAATATTCGCCTTTGCCGAATCTGAGATACCCTTCACCATAATGTATTCAAAATATATAACATTTCAATTTATTTTATACTACTTAATGGTGCCCGGTCCGCGTTGCAAAGCTTTGATTGTAAATGTGAATTCTACACGTAAAGATCTATATAGCCCTAAAATTTTAAAATGATCGGTTTAGTCTTTAAGGTGTTTACAGCAACACTTCTACGACACACAGACGGACAGACAGACGCACAGACAGACCCTTATGGCTTAATTGACTCCGCTATCTATAAGGATACATAATATATATACTTTATAGGATCGAAAATTATATTGTGGAAATTACAAACGGAATGACAAACTTATATATACCCTGCTCACGGCCTCCCGGGGCATGTTTCCTTGATGATAGTTCCCATCTTGGTGTATTGCAATCCCGGTGTAAAGAAGTGCTACCAGTACCTCTAGTCTGCCGGGACTATAAACTGGTGATGTCGCTCCACTCCTCGGCTAGCCCTTGGTATGACTTGATATGGGGTCTAACCAGAGAACCACATAATCTGGTACTATGGGTAGCCAGTTTCCCCCAGGACTTGTCCTGGCTGGTCAGTTGGTTGAAGTTCCTTCCACGGGATCCACGTAGTGGCTGTGGTTTAAACTCAAATTCGCGGGAAGAGAATGTTGGTTTAAGGGCTGATATACCCTAAACATAATGCGTTGATTAATTGTCTTTTCAAATGACATAGGTCTGTGTACAAAGCAGCATATGCTGCATTCCTGAAACCGATCGGTATTTCTTATCGGCCGCTTATTAGGGAGTCGATATATGCTGAGGAATTGTCAGGTTAGCGTTCAGTAGTTACCTGTCATTCTTTAGAGAGATCTTTGTGATCATGAGAATGAAACTGATGCGAAAATTGGTAAAAGGTCGGGAAAGTCTTCATATATTGGAGATTAGTACTGATTTAGAATGCCTTTTTACGCTTCGTACAAGTTTCTCGGTACTGTTGTCATCTCAACAGGATATATTGATTCATGCTACGCGACTTTTTGTCGGGGCAATTATTGGTTTCAGTTTATTTTGGGAATTCTTAAATCCTTTGTCTCAGATCGGTCCATGAAGTGGGATCCTAATTTATTATTTTGAGTATTATAATACGTCTCTAGGTGCTGTTGGCTAACCAATAGAAGCCATCTCAGTAGTATGGTTGGATGACATATAAGGTCCAGTAATGCTCTGGGGTGAGTCTTTAGATGATGAGAATGGCATCAATAGAGTGTTTTCACCTGATGTTGGGTCCGCCCCTTCTATTGACTCTAACCAGTGATTGCCTTCTCCTTGTCGGGGTTAGATTGAGCTCTTCTCATGACAACTGTTATACCCCAACGGGGCTACTATGGCAAGAGATTAGATAGCTCGTGCACGTATAATGGATCGAACATCCAGATACGTAAATAGCCACCGGCGTGTAAGATGCACAATGGGGCGGTGGTGAGTTACATTTTAGCTCACCCATTGGATGAAAAATATCACCGTGAAATAAGGCCCTCAGGGCAGGTGTTCACGTAAAGCACTTCAACATTCATACCCTGCTCACGAAGGTGAAGGGTATAAAAACAAATAAGAGTGTTGTATTTGTACGATTGTGCAGAATTATGAACCGAGAGATCGACAAAAATACTTTAAATAAGAAATTATTTTGTTGAATTTTCCTTAATACTTCGACTTTTAGACGATTCATTGACTGACTGAATTGAATTTTATTTTCTGTATAAGGTGTTATATGATGGGTAGGATTAATTAAAAACCAATCCTAATGAGATTTAGTTCATAAAAATGTATGTATATCGAATTTAATAATTAAACTTGTGGGTCAATTTTGCCGATTTTGAATACCAAGCAAATCACATTAATTCAGAAATTTGTGGAATATTTCAGCGTCTTCCATTTAGATCCAGTCATGTTTTAAACACACAGACATGGAATTTTTGAATGCTATATTAGTGTAGTTCGGTCCATCAGTATCCATGCCCAACTATATCATCATAAATCATTGATTTTGCTCTTCTGTATCAAGAAGTAGCCAACTCTACGACCAATATATTCGTTATATACTCTACTCTACGACCAATATATTCGTTATATACGGAAGAGTAAAATTAATATACTTCTTTGATGGTGAGTATGATAAGAAAGAAATTGTGGTTGGACATTGTAGATAATCCGATCACATGATTGTGGCATTTTTAAAGTGTTTTTCATGAAAAATTCCATTGTATAAATCTATCAAAATTAAAAAAAAAGTCTAATAACCTAGGGGTGGATCCTCTCTGTATTTTTAACTATGATTTATTCCTAATATTTATATAAATAGGTCAATATTAATATAGAAATGATTGTCGGTAGAGGGCTCTTTGGTCACTTATGAAATAATATTTTCTTTCTTTTAAAAAATGGTCCAAATTTCCCAAAAATCTGGCAACTAATAGACTGTAACTCCTATGGAACAAAAGAGAACAAAGAAGTCTCTTTCAATTTTTCTGATCAAATATCAGTCAGATATTTTGTGAACAATTTTATGAATAGCAAGTATGAATGTATAGTCAGACGTTGTCGACCTGCACCAGTGAGTACTTATGTTAAAAATGACGATTATTTTTTTAAATAATAAAGTTTTTAATTTGGTTTTTACCTTAATTCCGGAATAGTTTTACTTTTCGTTGACAAAAAAAAAGAGATTACCTACAAAAGGGTTTAAATGGGGGTAAGGATAAATATGGGCCTATCCATATAAATTTTGATAGAGGAATTTACTTTACGTCTACATTAAAATTATTTATGCAGAATTTCATAGTGTTATTAGTGTTTATAAGTGAATTTTGACCTTCAAGTCATTTTCTGAAGCGGAGTTTGTATGGAGGTTATGATCAAATGAGGCCTGATCATTACAAAAAGTCATTTAGACCTTTATAAAACTAAGTTTTGCTGCCCGCTGGTCCATTTGCGAAATAATGGACCGATTTTAACCATTTTCCATAGGTTTGGATCATAAGAAGAGTATGTGCCAAATTTGATCAAATTGTCTAGAAAATTGCGAACTGTAGCATGGGCGCAAGTTTTACATGGGCACACAAACAGACGGACATACTAAGGTAAAGAGCAATATTTGTTGTTATTTAGGTGTTACAAACATCAGCATAAACGCATAATACCCTAGCCACTATAGGGATGTAGGATATAAAAAGATTTTGAAATGTGTGTGTTTGTTTGAGTTTTTGTTTAAAGGCAAATTTTTATAGTCTGGAATTAACTAAAAGTAAAATCCAATTTTGCAATTTTAAATGGGCTACAATCGTAAAATTTTGCATTGATAACTTTGACATCTATATAAACATAAAAAATGGGCGAATTGACATTAGTGGACGTAGCATCTACCATATTAGTCAAATACTAAAACTCGTATATCTAGAAAATTAGAACAGCTAGAGTGAACAAATGTTGCCCGGTAAAAATTCGTATATCTGGAAATCTAGAAAAGCTATAGCGATATACTAGTAACTTAACCCAGTAGCCGAATAGCATATGTTGGATGGGTCCAGTTGAAACGGTGTTGAACATTGTATAGACCTATGCCACACTCAAAATAAAGATCTTGAATGGTGTCATTTATTCTCGACCAATACGAGTTTAAACCGGTACTCCATCTCGATCTTATTTGCGCCAATATCACACTAGTATTTATAGCTGCCTTGTATGAGCTTTCATTATTTATATTATACAGCTGTTCTGGGATGCCGCTCTGATACAAACGATCTTTCCTGAAATGCCTTGGGAGATGAGTCTAACTCCGTAAGATAGTGGCTCGGGTTGCCCCTATGATGACATCCCAATAGGAATTGATTTATGTTTGGTAAGCATGGTTCTATGCTCCTTAACCGTAAGCTTCTTCATCTGGTCATGCAGATGTTCTCCTGACTTCAATTGAATACAGTCCGTTATAGTCCTAAGGTGATCGCTTTATAGGCTTTGAAGCTTCTTCCACTGCGTGACGCTAACTCTCGGAGTCTACACTGGCGATAGGAAGACGGTAAAATATTTCAGTTACAGAGTTTTCAATGCAGATCAAGTTTAGAGCCATTTGTTCTGCTGTTCCGCATGACCACGATATCATGTCTGGGATCAATATCTCACAATTCTTGGCAATTTTTATTTTCGGTATGCATTCGGGCAAGTCTGCTCTTGGTATATAACGTCTAGAATGTCCAGTACATATTCATATAAATTATGCATTCATGTTGGTCAATTTCGTCTTGTATGATTAAAGCAATACGATAAGAGGAATGACCATCAGCATAGCTACTGAAGAGTAATTTAGAATTGGTCTAATTAAGCTTTTATACAGCCAGTGTTTTATAGTTGGACTAAGATCCTATTTTGTGTAAATTTAGTAAAGTTTACGGCATAACTTTACAACATATTGCTTAGAAAACGAAACAAAATAACATGTTATAACCCTTGGTAGTTAAGGAATCTGCAAACTTACTCCTTATGTTTTGTATCATGTATATGTTTTAATATTTATCATTCAAATACAATTAGAAAACATAGTTATAAAAACTAATTAATTACTTTCACTAAATAATTACTTTCACTTACTAAATAATTCCATAATATAAAATTTCTTTTAATTTTAATAGTTTACTCTACTTTAATTAATTACTATTTTTCTGCATTTTAGAAACCAACAAATTACGTTTGGCCTACAGCAAGCTCTGAAGCAGAAGCCAATAACAATACTATTACAGATTCTGCCCATTTAACAAATCCTGCTACTCCGCCCACACCACCACCCGATACCCATCTTAATCTAGAACATCCCTCGAAATCTTACAATAACTCGTTAAAACCCATTGATGAAACGGATTTAATTGAACAACATCAACATCAAGAAATAACCCAAAGTCACAAATCTCTCAAACATAAACAAACAGCAGCAACAACAACAACATCGTCGTCGTCATCATCAGACAATCATCTTGGCAACGGCTCTAATATGCCAATAGGAGGAGTACAAGGACAAAATCCTACCCAGGGTTTAGTGCATTGGATGAGTGCTGTAATGGCTGAACACATGACGGGGCAAACGCATCACGATCCCACAGCAGTGGGTATGCACTATATGTGGAATGGTAATGTGGATGTAAGTATGAATGCATGTAAAACATGAAAATGACCAGAAAATGGTTTCCTTTTTCTTGTTCAAATGTTTCGATGTGTTGGAAAACACATAAACTTTTCTTTTGTTAGTTTTTTCCTTAACAAGGTTTGCAAAATTTAAATACTGCCGAAGTTATTGTTGTGTTTTTCTCTTTTCTCATTTTTTTTATTCGTTCTGTTATTAATTTAAAAACTTTGTTGTTTGCTTTTGTCCAGTCGTTGCTGTGTTTGATTGGGTTTAACAGTGAAGGATGCAACTTCTTAATTGTTTTTTAAGATCCTAGACCCTTTTTTCCATCTTTTACTGATGCTGCTGTTTGTTCATTAAAATTTTGCGCGAAAGTGAAAATTAAGAAAATGAAGTGAGTGAAGTTTTTTAAGAATCAGCGAAGAGTAAACTAAAATAATAAGGAAGAAAATAAGCAAAAAAGTTTTTTATTGAAAAATAAAATAGAAAGAGAATTAAAGATTTTAAAATTTCTTGCTTCAGTAAAGAATATAAGTTTAATTGCTTCTTGGTAACGTTGCTGAAAGGTTTTTGATTTCAACCTTTTTAATTGTTCAAGTATACATATATTTAGCTATTGCTTAATTTTTGCTTAAGTATCCAATCGACATCCTTTCTATATAATCTCACAACTCCAGGGCAATTTTCAATATAACTACCCAGTTTACAGTAGTGAGTTGCCATAGAATTCTGTATTCGATTTTAATATAATATGAAATCGATGTTAAAATTTGGTATTCCAGGTAGTACTTGAGGTGAAAAATATCGTATATAGTCTGGACTATAGAATAGTCTATAGTCTGGAATATAGAATAGTCTACTTATAGTCTGGAATATAAAATAGTATTTATTCTGGACTATAGATTAGTCTTTAGTCTGGACTATAGAAGAGTTTTTAGTCTGGATAGAATAGTCTATAATCTGGACTAGAGAATAGTCTTTAGTCTGGGCTATAGAATACTCTAAAGTCTGGACTATAGAATAGTCTATAGTCTGGAATATAGAATAGTATTTATTCTGGACTATAGATTAGTCTAAAGTCTGGACTATAGAATAGTCTATAATCTGAAATATAGAATAGTCTGTAGTCTGGACAACAGAATCTTTAATTCTTTATTGTATGAATTCATATCTATTCAGTTCTAGATCAGCTCTAGTTCAGTTCTAGTTCAGTTCTAGTTTAGTTCTAGTTCAGTTCTAGTTCAGTTCTAGTTCAGTTCTAGTTCAGTTCTAGTTCAGTTCTAGTTCAGTTCTAGTTCAGTTCTAGTTCAGTTCTAGTTCAGTTCTAGTTCAGTTCTAGTTCAGTTCTAGTTCAGTTCTAGTTCAGTTCTAGTTCAGTTCTAGTGCAGTTCTAGTTCAGTTCTATTTCAGTTCTAGTTCAGTTCTAGTTCAGTTCTACACAGAGAGAAAAGGAAATATACACGCCTGTTATCAAAGTGACACCAAAGAGTTTATAATTTTTCAATAACTTCTTTTGTCAAAGTATATACATACGTATAACAACACTATGTAATGTTGACAACGCAACGTTGTCAACATTGCAACACTTCCTTGTCTAAATCTAAATTTTTTACACATCCGTTGTCTAAATATTAACAAACGTGGTAAGCTCACTATTGGCAACGGATTGTTTGTCAATAGTGAGCTTACCACGTTTGTTAACATTAAGAAAACGGATGTGTGTAAAATTTAGATTTCGACAACGAGCTGTTGCAATGTTGTCAACATTACATAGTGTTGTCGTACGTACTTATGTATATACTTTGACAACGGATGGTATTGAAAAATTATAAACAGGTTGGTGTCAATTTGGTACCAGGAGTGTATATTTCATTTTCCCCCTGTGTAGTTCAGTTCTAGTTCAGTTCTAGTTCAGTTCTAGTTCAGTTCTAGTTCAGTTCTAGTTCAGTTCTAGTTCAGTTCTAGTTCAGTTCTAGTTCAGTTCTAGTTCAGTTTTAGTTCAGTTCTAGTTCAGTTCTAGTTCAGTTCTAGTTCAGTTCTAGTTCAGTTCTAGTTCAGTTCTAGTTCAGTTCTAGCTAAGTTTTGTTCTTTTAAGTATCCAACATATGTAATAAGTAATATGTATGTATGTTTCAAGAAAAGTTCAATATTTGGTACTAAATTTACTTCCTTGGTCAATCATACAACAATGTCAATGTAAGCAAATGTTCATATTAACACTCTTATTCTCTGAGATTCTCTCCTCTTGCGTTGCAAGGAAACCCAACATAATAAAAATCTTTTTGTTGTTGTTTTTTTTTTTTTTGATTTGGCATTGTAAACAAGTTGTCCTAAGGAATTTTTCTGTAGTTCGTTGTCTTTTACAACAATAATAAAATGAAGAAAAGGAAGAGAAGCAAAAAAAGGATTAAAATTTCCTTTTGCTACCACAATATTTTGTTGTCGTTCGTGTAAGTGTAGTGTTTTTTATTGAATTTAGCTAGAGGCTAGTATTGCATTCGTTTACACACAAGTAAATGAATAAGGATTGATGGTTGCCAAGGACATTTACTTTATTTATTGTATTAAACATGTGTTTGCATGTATATTGGTTTCAATTTTTTTATTAAAAATTTTATGAAAATGTGTGTATGTATTAGATTTTATATGTATAAGTGTATGTTTTTTTCAAGAATTCTTGTTTAAAAATATTTTATGGATTCTTATGTTTTTCTTTATTTTTTTCACATTCATCTTCTTTGTCGAGCCCTCTTCTTTAGTTCTTCTATTCTTCTTTACACTTTCAGTGGGGGGTCATTTATCTCTGTCCCAATACGTATTCTTTATATTAGTTTGTCTTAACATTTTTTCCCCAAAAGTACAGTTAATTAATTTCATTAAATTTTTCCTTGTTTTCTTATATTTTTCTCAAAAAATAATGAAAAATTTTTTTCTTGTAAATTTCTTGTATTTTTATTGTTACAGGTTTGCTGCTGGCTGTTTTGTTAGAAGTTCTTTTTATTTTACTTGCTGTTGTTATTTAAAAAAGTAGGAAAGGGAAATGTTTAGGGGAGGGGGTAGGTTTAGGGTTTGTAAAATAAAATTAACAAAAGAAAAATTGATTGGGTCAAATACAAAAAATAAAAAAAATATAAAGTAAAGGGATGAAATTTTATTTCTAGTTTTAATTAATTAGAGAAAATTGTAAAATTAAAAGAAATTAGTTGTTATTAGATGCGAGTAAATGATGGTGTACCAGTATACACTATCGGACAAAATAAAGTACAAAAGTACTCATGCTATATTCTTTAAGCGAAAAATCTGTTAAATGATTATTAAATAATGAAAATTTATTTAAATTCATTTAGTTAAGCTACAATGCTACAAAAATAACAATAAAACAAAATTATTGTACTTAAAATGTTTCTGTATAAAATTTAAAATTAAAGTAAATTCACTTTTTTGTCGGACAAAATAAAGTGTAAATTTTATATATCATTGTTAAAATTTCTTGTATATAAAAACTTTTTATCTATTTTGGTTCTGATTTGAATATTTGGATCTCTTTAAGCCATTTTGGCAATTTTTTTACCATTATTATTGTCAGTCGCCTTCCCTTCCCCTTGTTTTCCCGCATACAATTATTTTCAAAAGGAATCCAATTTTATTCACTATTTCATCGGAATTTTTTGATCAATTGTGGTCCAAAATTAATCTATTGTATTTAGGGCGGTGCTCTGAACAGGACATTCCGATTTTCCGGTGTTTTTTTCCTACATTAATGTTACTTTTTAAATTTATCAAGTACTTAAGCTTATTATCTTGCCGTGATATAAATTTGCCCAAGTCCATTTCTAAGGCACTGATCTTTAGATTTGAGTGTAATATGCTCACGTAGTGTTCACTAGACCTTTCTGAATACATTCCCGTAGGTTCCGCACACCTAACGTTAAAAATTTAACACATACGAAGAGTCAACTGAACCATACCTTGAATCTTCCAATAACTTATTTAAAAGCGCGGAAAGTTTCTTCCGATTTTAGTATTTAATATTGTATTTTTTAGCTCAAATTTATGTAGTTGGTCAGATGAGTTCCTATTTGTATCGAAAAATTTTAAATTTCGACAATGAGTGAGAGGTAAGCCATTTAATATACAAAACTTGAAAAACAATACCCTGGTTTTTAAACATTAGCGTGGAGGGCTATCTGTATTGGTACATTATTCAACTTTAGGGGCGGGAATCTTAGTGAAAATGGAGTTAGTAATTACAAATGAGCAATACACGAGCATTTTTAATAAAAATCCTGGAATAAATGGCGTAAAAATGGTCTTGGGAGACTTCATGTCTCAACAGATTCATGACTTCAAACACACAACAAAGGCTAAATATCATTATTGTACGAATAAAAACACTGAAAAATTGGAAAAACCTGCTCAGAGCACCGCCCTAAATCCAATAGATTAATTTTGGACCACAATTGATAAAAAATTCTGATGAAGTAGTGAATAAAAATAGATTCCTTTTGAAAATAATCATATGCGGGAAAACAAGAGGAAGGGAAAGCGATTGGGAATAATAATGGTAAAAAAATACCACAATGGTTTAAGTAGATCCAAATATTCAAAACAGAACCAAAATAGATACAAAATTTTGATATACAATAAAATTAAATAATGATATATAAAATTTACACTTTATTTTGTCCGATAAAAAAGTGATTTTACTTTAATTTTTGACGTTATACAGAAAAGTTTTTAGTACAATAATTTTGTTTTATTGTTATTTTTGTAGCATTTAAAAAAATTTTCTATATTCAATAATCATTTAACAGATTTTGTCGCTGATAGAATATAGTATTAGTACTTTTGCACTTTATTTTGTCCGATAGTGTATATGCATGTATGTATGTGTACAGATTTCTTTGGTTTCATAATGATGACGTTATACCATATTGAAAATAAATTAAGAAGGGGTATATGTCTAAACATCGCCAAGTGGAATTTATTTATTTACGCGCTTTTTGACGAAGCTGTCCTTTTTTTGTTTTT